ATTCCCGCCCGCCCCACCCCCCGCCGCTCGGCCCCCGCACTTCAGGCCGCGAAGGGGTTAGCCCTCTCTCCAGCCCCGGGATGGGATACGCAGCCCATCCAGCCGGGGCCTGAAGGTCGAGGTCACCGATTCCTGGGAGGGAAAGCCCAAGGTCACCTGGGCGGAGCCCTGAACGAGACCCCGGGGGAGGCCACTGCTCTCTCGAGGTCTCTGGCAACCGACCTGGAGGGCCGGAGGGCCGCGGGTGGGGCAGCCGCGGGCCGAGCCGGGCGCCTTCAGCACCTCGGAGAGCTCCTCCCCAGCCCAGGCCTTGTGGCTCAGCTCAGCGCGCCCAGGCACCAGCGCTCGGCCTCCGAGCGGGTTCCCGGGCTGACCAGGGAGGGATTCGCCCCTCACGACCGGCCGCGAGGCCTGTTACACCAAACTCTGCGCCAAACACCCGATTAACCTTAAAACACACGGTTCCTTCTCTTGGAAAAACAACTCAAGTCCCGCCCCTCCTTCAGCCTCACCTAAGAGACGCTCAGAGGGCTCTGTGTGGGATTGGCGCGGGGTGGGGGGGTGGAGGCGGATACGCAGTGGAGAAGAAAGGGCAAGAGCTACTCGAGAAGGGGCAGAACTCAGGCAACGCCAGCTGCAGCTGCGGGGGCTCTTGGTGTGCTCTCCACGCTGAATGCGGAGGTGGGGGTCGGTCCCCAGTGGTCCTGGAAGGAGAGACCTGGAGTAGGCGGGTGGGGCTAGAGTGAAAAGCCATTGTGCTTCACAAGAATGATTTGTTCTCCCATGATCCTCATCACCAAGGATGAAAAAAGTGCTATTGCTCTTGTCCCCACTCACAGGTGAATTGGTTCATATAACAATTATATGATAGTCCTGCAGGGTGTGTGCGTGAACAAACAGAATGCAGGAAGGCCAGATACAACAGTCAGATGGGAAGTCAAGCAAGGATAAGGACTGGAGGCCCAGAAACCAGAAATGTCTCCAACCACTGCTTTGGGTTCTTCCAGAAGCTGTCAGGCAAAGCTGCTCCAGTTCCTCTGAAATCCATGATGGGTGGGGCCATTGGCCTCCCCAGTCCCAGAACCCAAAGTGGAACTGTGTAGCGCTGAGTTGGAAACCAGAGACCTGGTTTAGTCTTTGCTCTCAGCCTATGATCCAATTGGGTCTACAACTTGGGCCCATAGGACTTCTCTGGACCTATTTCCTCATCTCCAAATGAGCTTCCCAAGCTCTCCTGTTGACCCCACAACCTTGTTATGATGGGCAAGAGGCCCCCAAAAGGCTTTATCCTTGGGGAGGCTCTATCCACCAGGCAAAGGCTTTCTAAGTGGAGGGGTTGATGTTGTGACCTCCAACAGGCTCATCCTTGGCCAGGGAGGGCAGAGGTGAGGCCAGACAGGGCCAAATTTGGATCACCTCACCCACATGGCTGAATACCCCTTTTACAAAATAGAGCAAGTTGGGGTCCCACCTGGATTAAAACTGCCTCCACTAGTTAGGTGGTCTGGGTGTAATACCAGTGCTCACTTCAGAGGGTTTTTGTGAAGAGGATTGAGGTTACCGAGTCCTTGGCCAAGGTTTACACTTAACAAATTCATAGCCCCACTGTCAGCCAAGGAATTCTTCCCCATCTGACAATGCATAGCTCAAGTCCCATCTCTTCATGGGAGCCTGTCCTAACCAGTGCTGAACACGAAGGACTAGAGATTAGAGAGGTAGAAGTAACTGAGAGGTTGCAAGCCCTGCATCTACTACAAGGGAGGAAAGCGAAGTAAAGGCAAGTGGTGCCCTAGCCAGTTTTGCTCAGTGGTTAGAGCTTCCGCCTGCAGACTGAAGGGTCCTGGGTTCAATTCCGGTAAAGGGCATATGCCTGGGTTGCGGGCTTGATCCCTAGTAGGGGGCATGCAGGAGGCAGCTTATCAATAACTCTCTCAGCATTAATATTTCTCTTCCCTCCTTTCTGAAATCAATAGAAATATTTTAAAAAACCCAATGGAATAATATCCTCAGGTAAGGATTAACAACAACAACAGGCCAGTGGCTTGCCCTAGGTCACACAGCTAGCGGATGTCCTTTAGTCGAGTCCACTGTTATAACTTTCTAGAAAATTCTGGTGTTCCTAACTATACAACTCTTCACATTGTTTTGTATTACTTGCTTTCCCATTTAACCTTTTGGTTTTGTCTCTGTTGGGGTAACATAGTTATGCATGACGTATCGTGTCTGGGACAAAAAAGATACTGAAGTACTTGTTGCTGGCAGAAGCTTGGGGTGGCTCTGATTTTCCTGTATACCTTTGTATGATTTGGGGCAAATATCCTTCTGCCACTAACTTGCTTGAAACTTAAAAAAAAACATTATTGATTTTAGAGAAAGGGGAAGGGAGGAGAGAGAAACATCAATGGGTTGCCACCTATATACCCCCTATTAGAGATTGAGCCCGCAACCCAGGCATGTGCCCTGATGAGAAATCGAACTGGTGGCCCATCAGTGCATGGGATGACGCTCAACCAGCAGAGCCACGTCAGCTTGAACCGTAATGTGGCCAAGGCCCATGAATAGAACAGGCCTTTCGGTCACAGTACTGAGGACACAAAGTAAAGGAAACCTGAGGGGCCAGCAAATGGCATCTTTGTGGGATGTCTGTAGACAAGGACAAGCTCCAACCCCCATTATGGGTGGTTTCCTAGGACTGGAGGGGTCTAACTCTTTGCCAGTTACATCTTCACTCCAGAACCATAGTCCTGGGTAGGAAGCAATCAAGATGAATGACCTTCTGTCATTCCTACCTACCCACCTGTCGCTGTTAAAGTTGCCCCAGTCCCTAGCAGGCTCACAGGAAGCAGGAGGTGGTGGTGCCTGAGTGGCTTATGCTGAGGTATCAGATAGGGCTCCCCATAGACGCCAGCAGCACCAAAACCAGTGCCTGGGAGAACCTGGGCCCAGCTCATTTCAAAGACCCGCCCCCTTGGTCCCCAACCCCTTCCCCCCACTCCCACCATCCTCCATAAAAACAGAGCGGAGCCTGGTGAGGGGCATGTCATCATTTTAATGATGTAGATCTTTGGTGTTTCCCTCATTAGCAGTCAGACTATCCCCTCTTCTCCCACCACAATGTTTCTATGAGTTACAAACAGAAATCACATTTTCATACTAAAAACAAAATAATCAGCGCCTTGATTTTTCCACTAGAAACTACACGTACAGTTTAAGATTCCACATGCAACACCTTAAATCACAGACCAAGACCTCACATTCTGACCTGGAGTTTCACCCCCTCCCCCAGCCTCGGGCTGGCTTTGGCCTCGGCTCAGGGAATACTGATACCCACAGGCGCTGCTCTGAGGACCTGGGGGACAGGGAGGGAGGGGCTTGGTGGACAGGCCCTGGGGGCTGGCCAGCCTACACCCCCCACTCCTGAGTGAGGACCTGCCCACCATCCCTTGACCCCATCCTCTGTCAGGCAAGCAGGCTCCCCCCACTCCATGGTGTCCCCATTAGCAAGCGTAGAAGCCCGTCCTCGGGAATCTGGGCCTGGCCTGCCCGACAGTGGCCTTCGTGGGGAAAGATAAGAAGCTGAAGCTCTGGAGGCTCCGAGATAGAGATGGTTTCTGGGGGTCGGCTGCTCCTCTTGCTCTTCAAGTCCTAGTGGCTTGGCCCCTACAACAGGTGGACAGGGCACAGCTGTCTCACTGGCCACTATGCAGGATAGTTTGGCCCTTCTGGGGTTCTCTGTGACTAGGGTAAACGGGGTTCATGGCAGAATACCCACTTCCTTCTCTTCACTCAGCACAGCAGTGTGGCTCCATGGGCTCCAGATCCTGAAAGGTTCTAGTCCTAAGGTGAGCCTTGCCCATTTGACTGCCTCACGCCCACAGACTCTGATTTCCTCGAACCCCTGCCCTCTTGCTCCTGTTCCTGATGCAGCCTGCAGCTCTTCCGTGTCCAGTTCCCAGTCAGCTGTGAGGTCCGATTTCTGCTCAGCGGTTTGAGGGAGGCACCAGTGCACACTTGTCTCTACCTGTTCCGTGGCTCCCCACTGGGGCCTGCAGCTTCCCCCCTGCTGCTACCGCCACTGTCAGGAAGGTGGTGGTTACTGGTCAGGTCGCAGTGCGGGGTTGGTCCCTCAGTGCTGGGAAGGGGGACAGGAGTAGGGGCAGGGGAGGAAAAGGGCAAGGATGGCTGGGGGGGCTCCCGCCCAGGGGTACTGGGCTGGTCCCAGGAGGCTGTCCGGGGGCTTAGGCCTCGCTCTGCCAGCTGCCCAGGTTCCGGGAGCAGTCCCCGAGAGGTGGAGGGCTGGGGCGAGGAGGTGCGGGCGGCCCCAGGCTCAGTCCCTGTCTGGGAGCTGCGGTGAATGCGGTGGCTGACGATGATGTTGTTGCCAAAGCCGCCCATGGAGGCCATGGTGGTGCTCTGCTCCCGCTGCACCACGGCGGTCATGCCACCCTCGGCCATCAGCCGCTGGATCCTGCTGAGGGCGTCTTCCCCACCTGCGTACTCTGAGCCCTCACCTGGAAGGTATGAAGCAGAAGAGGGAGGGAATTAATTGCTGGCCTGGTCCTCTGAGCCAGGCAGGCAACTGCTAGGAGGAACTGGAGGGTTCTAGGCTAAAAGCAGAAACAAGGCCCACTCCCCCAGTCTATCTGAGAATCACTCGGACACCTGAGCGTGATGACTCTCGGAATGGCCCTAGCTCATACTTCTGTTTTATTGGCAGAGAAACTGAGGCCCAGCATGGCCTGCAATGCCCAAGGCTACTCAGCCGCTACACGCGCAGAACCGGACCAGAAGGCAGGTGTTTGGCTTTAGCCCTTTCAGGCCAGTGGCAGGCTGGTCATTAATTGAATGAAGGCAATGGGAAGGGCCCGGCCAGCTCGCTTGCTTTGCCTGCCTGCTCCCTGCCGTGGGTAATCTAACCTGGTAGCCCTGGGAGAGGGTATGCTGCCTGGTCTTCGGAAAGAGAGGGCACCCCACAGAGTGTGGTTCAAAGGCAAACAGCCTGCTCTGCTTCACTTCAGAGCTGTGCTGTCTTCCCTATGTTCTGTTTATGGTACTTCCTGAGAGTCCAGGAGGAAGTCTGAATTTTTAACTGTTCCCCCTTCATCCATCAGCCTTCCTACGTTATTTCCCACACACTGTTCTTCTGGGGCTCGATGCCTGACACTGCCTCTCACCTGCCCCACAGCCAGGCACCTGCCCGGGCCTGAGGCTTCAGCCGCATATTAAGAGGCAGAAGAGGTTGTAGGGCAGCGGTTCTCAACCTGTGGGTCGCCAACCTGTGGGTCGTGACCCTTTGGGGGTCGACGACCCTTTCACAGGGGTCGCCTAAGACCATCAGAAAACACATATATAATTAGATATTGTTTTTGTGATTAATTACTATGCTTTAATTACGTTCAATTTGTAACAATGAAAATACATCCTGTATATCAGATATTTACATTACGATTCATAACAGTAGCAAAATTACAGTTATGAAGTAGCAACGAAAATAATTTTATGGTTGGGGGGTCACCACAACATGAGGAACTGTATTAAAGGGTCGCGGCATTAGGAAGGTTGAGAACCACTGTTCTAGGCCTTCCCCCGAAGGCCTGACCGTTCCCTAGTGTCGGAACAGACAGGCTTCGGCTCAAGTCCAGGTCTGTGATCTTGGATAACCCCCTTAACCTGCACATCCCCCAGCTTCCTGACTTGCACAGTAGGATGCACACAGCCTGCACAGTGCCGGGCGGAGCATGACAGCGCATGTGAGTGCGGCCCCGGTGGACGCCCAGTGGTGATGAATGGGGTCTGGAGTGCAGCTCCATCCTGAGGGATCTTCCCTCCAGCCTGTGCTCAGCGATGACTACAACTGCTGCTGTTTCCTCTGGCTGCCTGTTGGCAGTTTGTGATTTTGCATATTTGGGGGCTTTGATAGTGGTTTTTTCTTTTGGGGTACTTGTCAACAGCTAGTTCTGCAAGACTTTCCTTGCTTTCTCCCTGCCAGTCCCTTCTCTCTGCTTGCTGTTAGAACTGATTTCCAGGCAGCCAGTTTCACAGCTTTGCAGTGTAAGGCCACACTAGGTCTCTCCCTCCCTGTCAGTGCTTGGCACCCCTGGTAGTTCTTCCTTAGGTCTACCGAGGCAGTGGGTGGTGGGGACTCTGCCTGGGCTTTCACTTACGTCCAGCTTGCTTTTCTCCAGATCTCCTGGTTAACCCTGCCCATCTACCCTCCACCACTCAGGCAGCAGCCCATCCACAGTCTCCCCTGGCAGCTCGGCGCCAGCTCCCAGGGCAGAAGGAATGAGAACCTGCAGGGCTCAGAGTTCTCTAGGGGACAAGCCGTCTTCGCAGGGGGACACAGGAAGGGTCAACTGAGCGCCTTGGTGCCAGCACAGTCTCTATCCTGTGAGCCAAAGGGCTGCCTGGGGAGGCCCAAGGGGACCTCCCTCTGCTCACTGCCACCCCCACTGCTTTCCAAGAACTGCACTGAGGGCTCCCCAGCCTGGCTGGGAGGTGCAGTGGGCTGGCCTGAGGACTGCTGGCCCTGGAGCTCATGGTGCAGGGCTCAGGGGGTGAGATGGGACGGGACACCATCAGCTCTTTCCATGTGGCTCACTTCCGGGCCCTGCTGTGAGCACTCGGATCTGAGCCTTCTGTCCTCTCCCACTGCACCAGTGGCTCTGGTCCTGGCCAGCTCTCACCATGGCTGGTCTTGCTTTTTATATCGTCCCTTTCCACCCAGCCTCCATGCCGCTGCTATTGCCATCCCAATTAAGCTCTGATTCACTGAGTTCTCGTTAAATCCATACTTGTCAAAACCAAGCAGCTTCAAAAAATCAAGAATCCTTAGCTTGAGATTTAAGGGCCCTCTGGCCAGGTTCCAGCCGCTTCCTGACCAGGACCTCTTCCTGTGCCGTGACCTTACCAAAGCCGGCCCAGCCTGCTGTATGCCCGCCTGCCCTGCAGATGCTCCCCGCCTGCTCTGTGCTTGCCCATGGCCTCATGTCTAAGGTCCACTCTTTTTAAAGGGCCAACGCAAGTACCGCCTCTCACCCAGACCTCCGATGGAGTGGCTGCTCCTTCCCCAAGCCCTGCAGTGCTCACACTTCTCTGTGTAAGTTATCTGTGGCATCGACCTTCTGCAAGTTCCTGAAGGCCTCAGACTAAGTTTTAATCATCTTTGCGTCTAACGTTGGTCTTGAACTTGTGTGTATTTATCAGATGAATGTGTGGGTGAATAAAAGGGCTCCCGAGCTGATTACAGAGGCTTAAGTGGCTTCTGAACACAGATCACATGTTGCCCCTGCTATGGGAGAAACACCTGTGTCTGTTTCTTTCCGGAGGGAAAGGACATGCTTCATCCCTGAATGTGATTCCCTCGGCAATACCATTGAATTCATGGTCCCTAATATAATCACACACACACACACACACCCCAACAGCTTCCTCAGGGCTGGGTGCTGACAGCTTTGAGCTATGAGCTGTGCTTCTCTCTTGGGGACTCTAAGCCAAGGCTACGCGCCACGGAAGGCAGCCAGCACATTCTTCCAGAGGAGAACGCACACACTGGGGCCCGAGGGAGATGGCAGCCTGCCCCAGGAGCTCAGCGATGAGCGGCAGGAGCGGTGGCCACAGGGTCAATCCTGCTGTCTCCTTCCCTGGAGCAAAATGTTTCTTTCCATCTTTGAAAAATGGGAAACTGATTTCGTGTTGACATGAGATCTTTTCCTTGGCAAATTCTAAGATACAGAGGCCAGGATGGACAGACCAATAACTTCCCATAATGCCCTGTGACCTCATTTAATTCTGGGGGTTCACTGCCCAGAAGGGGGAAGCAAGGCTGAGTGAAAGGGAGAAGCTGCCCTTCCTGCCCTCAGTGGGCCTGCTGGTCTTCTAGCCCCTCCCATCTCACACTGCTCTCCCTGCCGCCCAGGGCCCAGGTCACTGCAGCTGGCCTAGCATCTTCACTTCACAAGAAAGAGGCCAGACAACCTTTCCCAGCGTCAGAGGCAGAGCCACGGGCTCCCCAAGTAGTGTGGCACAGCCAAGCAAGGGGCAGGGCCTTGCCTCCACTCCATTCTCCCCTCCTACACACTTCCTGGATGCCTGCTGTATGCGGGGCAGGAGTGGGTCAGTGCTGGGAGCAAACAGTGAGACCAGGGAATGCTCCCTCCCTTTCTGACAGGGTAGGGAAGCTCTAAGTTGGATGAGCACTGCAAATTCCCACTCTGGAGGGCTCTTCCTGGAAGTCCTAGGAAGAGCTGAATGGACTTGAACCAAATTTTTACAGAACAAGAAAATGAGGAGCCACCTGGAGCCACCCGGTGCTAGCTGATCGGAACGAGAGGGGCACCACAGAACAGTGACTGCTACGAAGCAGAGGTGGTCTCCCATACTCGTGAACCTGGGCCCTGGTGTGTGGGGTGGGATGTGCAGGTGATATCCCTCCTCCCATGCCCCTGGCCCTGTCTCCTAGCTGAGCCCAGAAGAGAGGTTATGCAGATGGGGCCACCAGTTTGCCTACATGGAGAGAGGAGGCAGATGCTGGGAGTGAGGTGCTGATGCGTAGAGCAGCTGTGCCTGCCTGCTGGGTGGGGAAAGTCTACACCCAAGGAGAATCCTGGTGCCTGGCTCAGCAGGAGTGGTTGCTGGTCAACGAGAGCAGCACCACCAAACAGCTCCTGGCCCCAGATGACGGAGGCCGCCCCCGCCCCCATGCTCTCCTCCCCTTACTTCTTTCTAGGCATGTCTCTTTCTGAGAGGATTAAGAGAGCTGGAGGTCCAGAGCTCCGGGCCAAGGTTACAGGGCCCCACACAGACGCACAAGCTGAAAGCCTACTGTGCCCAGGGGCCAGCTCCCGACTGCCACTCCTACTGAGGAGCAACTCTGGCTTCTGCAGGACGCACCCTCCACCACCTGCTCCCCTTTGTGGGGACAAGACAGGGAGGAAATGTGGTTCTGGCCTCTTGAAACTGGGAGCAAGAGCCCCTTCCTCTTGCCAGCCTCCGGCCCCAGCCCAAACAAGAAGAAAGGAACTTATGACTGACTGAGAACGTCTGAAATGGGCTGAGGCTAATCAAGAAAAGAGCAGAGGAATCACTTTGTAATTTATATAAATGTCTAGCCACTACACTATACACCTAGAGCTCATATAATACTGAATGTCAACTGAAACTGAAAAATTAAAAAAACACTAAAAAGCAGAGGATTCTCTGGGAGGTGAGGATGCCTTCTCCTCAAGCTGGCAGCTCCTGGCCCCGAGCCCTGTGCACTTGACTGCAAGGATGAAGGCCTCAGCCCCAACCAGTTCCTGGAATCTGCCTTCCCTACTCATCCAGCCTCAGTTCTCAACACGTGCTAATCAGGCCACAAACACGAACCTGCTCGTGGTCCTCTGTGTAGAGCAGTGGCTCTCAACCTTCTGGCCCTTTAAATACAGTTCCTCATGTTGTGACCCAACCATAAAATTATTTTCGTTGCTACTTCATACCTGTCATGTTGCCACTGTTATGAATCGTAATGTAAATATCTGATATGTAGGATGGTCTTAGGCGACCCACAGGTTGAGAACCACTGGTATAGAGTGTGATGTTTTTGAACTTGCAGGTGCTGTCCCCTCTGCCAGGAATACCTCTCCCTGCGCTCCCCTACCCGCTTTGCTTGACTAACTCCTACTCATCCTTGAAAGCTCAGCTCAGAGCCACCTCCCCCAGCAGCCTTCCCCCAGCCCCATAGGCTGGGTGGGCATGGCTCCTCCTTTGAGTTTCTGAGGTCCTGATCACAAGAAGTCATTATTTTCCTGCCTCTCTAGAGTTCAAGTTCACTGAGGAAAGGCTTATTTGTCTTTGTAGCCCAAGCGGCTGATCCATGGTGGAAATCAGTAAACGGCCATGAGATCAGATCCAAGGGGCTGCCTAGGACTGTCTTTAGCACGGGGGCGGCTGGAGGAGCCTGCAACTCTCTCCTTGCTGAGGCCTGAAGCCCAGCCAGCACTGCCAGCTGCTTATGTCCACACCCTGGGGCTTTCCACCCAACAAAGAGTCACAGGCCTCAGATGTAGGTGTGGCCTGGGCCACAGACCAAAAAGGGACTTAACTTTAAATTTTTCAGTTTATGGCAGCCAGAGGGACAGTGCCCTGGGGTGGGGTCGGGGGTACTGAGTATAGAAAGCTTCCCTGGGGTGACACAGGCAAATTCGTTACTCTTTGCCTGATGCACATCACATTTCTCCCATAGGCTCAACACAGACCTAGACAGTGTGTGTCTGCTTCGAGGCTGGCTTGTGTGGAGCTGGGGACCAGCAAGGGGCCAGGGTAGGGGGTAAGGAGATGACTGAGTGAGAACAGGCTGTTTAACACAGCTGCTAACAGACTCCAAAGTGGCTCAAGCTCTGCCGCTGGGAAGTGCTAATTGGTTCTTAGACGTGTGAGGCCAGCACAGACTGCCAGGGAGGCTGGCTGAGCCGCACCTGAGATAGGTGACAGGAAGGTGCTGAGGGTGTGCTGGGCTGTACCCAAACGGCAGTGATGCATGGGTGTAAGAGGAGCACAGTTGCAGGGGGACAGGCTCCCTGTGGGTGGCCCTGGAAGCCGACAGCAAGCGGTCTCTCGTAGCCTTTCCCATCCAGCTACGTCCTGCCCTCTCTCTAAGCACAGCCTCTGTCCTCCAAGTTCTGGAGGAGAGGGCACTTGGGGGAAAGCGGAAAGAGCTGCTCCGCTTGCTGGAATCAGTGACAGATGAAGGAGATGAGGTTCCTGCCTGAGGAGGTGGTTAATGCCACCAAGAGGGCACTCCCCAAAGAGGGAAGGGTGCTCATCCTGACTGGAGTGCATTCTCTCAGTACCCCCGTCCATGTGGAGGAGCCAGGAGCCTTGATGATGGTCCCGCCCACTCCCCTCCCCACCCCCTGCCATATTTGCCCACTGGCATCACAGGGCTCTCACCTTCCCCGGGACCCGAGGCTGCTGTCCCTGGCTCCTGTATCTCCCTCTCCGTCTGTGTTTCCGCATTCTGCAGCTGAAGGGCCAGAGTCTGGGTGCCCTGAGACGTCACTGAGGTGGTGGGGTTCCGAGGCTGCAACCCAATTGCATTCATCAGACCCATGTCTCTGTCTGTCCTCCATGTGGCTCTGCTGGTTCTAGGGAGAGAAAGGTGGACTGAAATCAGGCAGGGCTTGGGACAGCACCCCTCAGAGCTCGGCTGGCTCCATGCCAAGCCTCGGGCACAGGCTTGACCAGGGCTGCAGGCTAAGGAGCAGCCCTGCCCGCCCACAGCTACCTCCCAACCCAGTGAACTCGCCTGTGTCCCTTCTCCTTCCTATCAGTCCTGTCCGAGACAAAGAAAGGCGGCCACATAGCCATCCAATTTTGCAAGCCCAGCTGGTTCAGCCACTCCCTTAAACAAAGGGGACTTTCTGATGAGGTAGAGATGGCCAACATAAAAGACTTTTTTAGATACAGGAAGCCCCTAACTGAGATCCATGGGACAAACAGTGAGCAGTAGAAGGACCTTTCTCTCTGTAGCATTTCCTTGCTTCTATACGCTGACAAGGTTCCAGTTTACATCCGGAGTTTCCACTGGATCTCCACTGTGGAGGAAGAGTACTCAGACTCGGATGAATCTGTTCTGGGACCCTTCAGGGCCTTCTGAAAAGCTGCCTTATGAGAAAGGCCTGGGTCCAAGGCCAGCACCCTCTCCCCTTGGGCATTTCCAGGCTCTGAGCCTTGGGGTGGCTAGCTGGCAGCAGAGGAAGCCCAGGACTTCTGAGAGGGTCACTCATATTTCTAGCTGTTTCTGGGGACGATTTCTGCAGCTGGGCCCTCTAGGAAACAGTGCTTGCCTTTGTTTTCTCAAAATATTCATCTTCATTAGTGAGTTAAATAAGAGGGTTAGTACCAGGTTTCTACTGTCTAAATGGATCCTGGACTGCAGCTCTCGGCAGCTTGGTCCCAGAGGCTCTAGTCACCTGGGAGATCACTGACAGATTCTCCCTGAGGACATGAGCACTCGTCCTAGGGACAGGCCCCCTCTCCAGTGCCCCGGCTTCTCCCCTCACCACAGGATGGGAGAGGACCAGAAGGTGTCCTAGCTTGTTCTACACCAAGACCCTAAGAGCAGAGGTTTTGTTCTTTCTTAGACATTGACATCAATATATTTTTATTGATTTCAGAGAGGAAGGGAGAAGGAGAGAGAGAGAAACATCAATGACGAGAGAGAACCATTGATTGGCTGCCTCCTGCACACCCGCTACTGGGGATCAAGCTTGCAACCCAGGCATGTGCCCAACTGGAATCGAACCCGGGACCCTTCAATCCACTGAGCCAATCCGGCAGGGCAACACCATTTTCTCGAATGAAATTGCGTGCAAAGGCTCAACGCATGAAGCGGATCAAAGAGGAGGCGCTCTGATTGAGTGGTACCCAGAGAGCCCTGGGTACAGGCTGAGGGCATCGCTTGGGAGCCCATCAGAAGCAGGAGGCAGGGGCTGCACCCTCCTCCTTCAAACACTCACCCGGGCCTCTCACTGCTCCGGCTGCTGGAGTGGACCGTGAAGACAGTCTCGTTCAGCTGGTCCCAGTAGTACTCAATGCCTGAGTTCGAGGCCCTGAAAGTCAGTGGGGAAGGACAGAGAAGGTGGAAGGCGTTAGAGAGGGACTGGCCAGAGCTCTGCACAATTCTCAAGCTCCGTAGACTGTGGCCCGGGAACCCTCCTTCCTCACTCCTGGGCGGGGCTGAGAGGCACTCCACTGGGACGCTCAGTGCGGAGCACTTCAGGCAACCGCCTGCAGAGCTGGTTTTAGCTTCTTCTTCCTGCAGACAAAGCCTGACTGGCTCCACCTTGGGGCTGAGACAGCTAAAAAAATGGCCACAGCAGACGCAGGCACTGGGTTCTGAGAGCTCTTCTTTTCCCGAAAGGAGCTCAGATGGCAAATGGGAGGCTGAGAGGCCCTGGAGAGACAGCGTGCCACGACTGTCCTGCCTGCAGGTCCTGCTTCGTGCTCAGAAACAGGCTCCCCACACAGAGGGCAGGTGCCCACTGCCCTGCGGTGGGAGGAAGGAACACGGGGCTCCCGGCATTCTCCACTTGCCTGGAGCTCAGAAGTCTAAGCAGACCAAAGCCCCCACTGAGCTGTAAGAGCCCCCACTTCTTTCTATTCTGGCCCTACTGTCTCCTGGGCCAGGGCAGGGTGGACAGCAATGGGGAAGATGCTCCTCAAGCTGAAGGAGACCCGAGGCTGCTCACGAACTTCTGACGGGGAAGGAAGGAGAGAAACGCAGGTGGTGATGGCTGGACTGCTGGTGGCACAGCTGCCAGAGGGAAGCGGTGGCCTCTCATCCTTCTATATTGACTTGCACACAAGACTGCTTTGCTCTGCTTTCTTTCTTTTCTTTTTGTCAATCCTCACCCAAGGATATTTTTCCCATTAATTCTTAGAGAGAGTGGAAGGGAGGGGGAGAGACAAAGAGAAACATCAATGTGATGTTTCTATTGGTTGCCCCCTCCTCCACAGGTTCTATTGGTTGCCCCCCACACACGCACCAACCAGGGTCAGGGATCGATCGAGCCTGCAACCAAGGTACAAGCCTTGACTGGAATTGAACCCCAGACCTTTCAGTCCATAGGCCAATGCTCTAACCACTAAGCAACCGGCTAGGGCTGCTTTGTTTTCTGATTCCTCCCTGGAAGGTATTACCTAGACCCGTGGTCGGCAAACTGTGGCTCGCGAGCCACATGCGGCTCTTTGGCCCCTTGGCCCATGCGCAGAAGTCGGTATTTTGTGGAAGAGCCACACTTAAGGGGCCAAAGAGCCGCATGTGGCTCACGAGCCGCAGTTTGCCGACCACTGACCTAGACCAGTCACTGTGGCTGAGAGTGAGGTGTGATGCGGGTGGTGAAAGCAGAGGGACAGAAGTTGGGAAGGAGGTACCTTTGATTAGAAGTCTGGCATCCCTGTAGAGATCCTATGCTACACACAACAGCCAGTTCTGATCCCAGATGGGGCAGAACGTGCCCATGTGCATGAAGAGCTCTGCTAGTGCTAGGGACTGAACTGCATGTTGAAGCTGGTCCCCCAATGTGGTTATGTCTGGAGACAGGGTCTTCAGGAGGTAATCCTATATAATAAAAGTCTAATATGCTGCCCTAGTTGGTTTGGCTCAGTGGATAGAGCGTCAGCCTGCGGACTAAAGGTCCCAGGTTTGATTCCGGTCAAGGACACATGCCTGAGTTGCAGGCTCGATCCCCAGTGGAAGGCGTGCGGGAGGCAGCCCATCGAATATTCTCTCATCATTGATGTTTCCACCTCTCTCTCCCTCACCTTTCCTTTTTGAAATCAATAAAAATGTATTTTTTTTAAAAAGGCTAATATGCAAATTATCCCCTCAACTGGGAGTTCAAAGGGGAGTTCAGCAAGGGGGTGGGGTCAGCCGCCAACCGCCCGTGGCCCCTCCCCTCAGTGAGGTGGATCCCACCTGTGCACGAGTTTGTGCCCCAGGCCTCTAGGTAAGGTCATAAACATGAGACCCTAATACAACAGGACTGGCCTTCTCACCACGAGAAGACAGAGTGAGAACATGACCCTCTGCAACTCAGGAAAGGTCCTCACCAGAGTGGGCCACGCTGGATCCAGCCTCCAGGCTGCGAGGAGAACAGTCACTGACCAAGCCATCCAGCCCAGGTCCTCTCTTTAGGAGGCCTGCGCAGACGATGACAATCTCCAATGAAAGCCAGCTTTTTAACCTATGGGCCCAGGTCACCTTCCTCTAACGACAGAACTTCTTCCATGAAGAGGAAACAAATCAGTCAGCAGGTTCTGAGGGTGGGCCAGGAGGTGAGGCTGTGAAGGGTGATGTAGATGCTTCCTTCTTCAACAAGAGGGCTAGACAGTCCCTGATATGGGATGTGATGGGACTTGGATGGGGAGGGAATGTATGTTGGAGGCTGTGCTCCACAGTGAAAGGAAACTGGCCTGGCACTGAGCCCCAAAGCCTGTCTTTAGAGCAGGGGTGGGGAACCTTTTTTATGCCAAGGGCCATTTGGATATTTACAGTATTCACAGGCCATACAATTGTCAACTTAAAAATTAGCTGCTATATTTAATTAACTCACCCTTAATGCCCTGCCAGGGCCAGACCAAATGATTTCTCAGGCCTTATACAGCTCGAGGGCTGGATGTCCCCCACCCTTGCTTTAGAGCAGCGGTTCTCAACCTGTGGGTCGTGACCCCTTTGGTGGTCGAACGACCCTTTCACAGGGGTCGCCTAAGACCATCCTGCATATCAGATATTTACATTACGATTCATAACAGTAGCAACATTACAGCTATGAAGTAGCAACAAAAATAATGTTATGGTTGGGTCACAACATGAGGAACTGTATTTAAAGGGACAGAAGTTTGAGAACCACTGCTTTAAAGGATCGCTAAGATTCCAGGGACAGGGTTCACCTGAGGGCACACTAGTGATTCTGGAGGGAAAGAGCCCCAGCCTGCCAGAAGTGCTCTTCCTTTCCTTGCTCTATGTAACCCTCCCGACAACTCCCAGAGGCCTGGGCACCCCTTTAAAATGGAGCATCGCCTCCCTCTTCCCAACACTCAGCTGCTGGGTGGGGTTGTCTGAGAACCGCGGGCATGGGTGAGTGACGGTGAGGGGGGCAGATCTTGTATCAGGGAAAAGGCAAATGCCACAAGTCACAGCAGAGCCTCCCAAAACAAAGCCATCACTGCCAGCTGCCAGGGAGCCTCTGATTTGCAAACTTGTCAGGATTTATTGACAGGTGGCAATACCATGTGGGTCCCTGCCAATCCTTCCTCTGTGATTCCTGCTAGCCAGGGCTGGATACTGACAACAAATTGTTCACACCAAACCATGTACCAGAACCTTCTTTCCATCACAGGAAAGAAACCACTGACGGCCCATTCAGAGCTGGGACTGTCAGCGTGATGCTGATGGTTAAAGGGTCCCCCTTAAACTCTTCTCACCCATCTGGCTCAGAGCTGGGGACTCTGGCCACTGAAACAGAAGAGGATGGAAGGCTGCATCAGATGCACTGCTGCACCCTCCCCCCTCACCCCAAGCCTTTCTGTCCCCATCAGCAGGTCTATTTCTAATCCTGATATGGCTCCTTTCTGTGGTCGGAAAAGCTCAACTACAATGGAATACTAATACCTGTTCCCCAATATCAAATATTCTGATCTTGAATATTTTCAAGGATTTGAAAATTCCAGGTACCAAAGAACAGAGTTGAAGGAACATCTCTGGCCACAGAAACTCAGTCTTCAATGCCAATGGTCCTAACCACCTCCGTCTCCCTGGGGCTTAATGAGGATGAACGAGTCACTATTTGCTCCAGGTTCTTCCTGGGGGCTTAGCAAACACACAAAGGGATGGAGACGCATGGCAAGGCCAGTCAGGTCAGCCTTTTCAGATGGACTTCCTCTTATCCCCCGGCTTCTTTCAGCAGTGTCTGTCTGAAAGCTGTGCTTCGGAACACAGCCAGGAGCCCGCCGGGCCTCCTCGGTGGTGACAATGCTCCACAAAGAACTCTGGCTCTGAACTTCCCAACTTCTAGGGAATATTCCCTTTGAGAACACTCTTCTTTCATCTATTGGTTGCATGGCTGTCTCCTTGGAGAAAAGGACTGTTTTGAGGAGACCGGCATTCATCCCTGCTGTCCCCATGACGTGGGCAAGAGTTGGCACCTGGCTCTTGTGGGACAGACAGCCTGAAAGACAGTGGCTGTGGCTTCCCTTTTGATTCAGAGGCATGCCGTTCCCCTCTGTGGTCAATGATGCTTGATTGTAATCACTGTTTACAGTGGCAGCTCCCTCTCAGGGGACAGAGCTGGGACCCTGTCAGGAGCCCCACACTCAGCCAAAGGCCAGATGCCCCACAGCCCGAGCCTACTTCTTTCTGTGAATTCTGCCTTCTGAGCTGACTCTGAGAAGTGGTCTTCCCAGAAACACCTCTCTCCCATTTGAGGGCTGATCTATGAAGCCGGAAGTGAGCGAGCACCCCCTCACATCAATCTGGTACTTCACACCCACTGTGGTTATTGGTGGGGGTGTTGGCTGGGCTGGCAGTCAGCCAGAGGCAGAGCAGCAGCTTGGGGGAGTGGCAGTGGGGGAGCAAAGCCAAGGAGAAAGGAGCACCTCACCGCCTTGGCTACCA